ACACAGATGCTCCGTCTACTGTGTTGGGGGGACAGGGGCGGGATACAGATGCTCAGTCTGCTGTGTTGGAGGGACAGGGGCGGGATACAGATGCTCCGTCTACTGTGTTGGAGGGACAGGGGCGGGATACAGATGCTCAGTCTACTGTGTTGGAGGGACAGGGGCGGGATACAGATGCTAAGTCTACTGTGTTGGAGGGACAGGGGCGTGATACAGATGCTCAGTCTACTGTGTTGGAGGGACAGGGGCGTGATACAGATGCTCCGTCTACTGTGTTGGAGGGACAGGGGCGGGATACAGATGCTCAGTCTACTGTGTTGGAGGGACAGGGGCGTGATACAGATGCTCCGTCTACTGTGTTGGAGGGACAGGGGCGGGATACAGATGCTCAGTCTACTGTGTTGGAGGGACAGGGGCGTGATACAGATGCTCCGTCTACTGTGTTGGAGGGACAGGGGCGGGATACAGATGCTCAGTGTACTGTGTTGGAGGGACAGGGGCGGGATACAGATGCTCCGTCTACTGTGTTGGAGGGACAGGGGCGGGATACAGATCCTCAGTGTACTGTGTTGGAGGGACAGGGGCGTGATACAGATGCTCAGTCTACTGTGTTGGAGGGACAGGGGCGGGATACAGATGCTCAGTCTACTGTGTTGGAGGGACAGGGGCGGGATACAGATGCTCAGTCTACTGTGTTGGAGGGACAGGGGCGGGATACAGATGCTCAGTCTACTGTGTTGGAGGGACAGGGGCGTGATACAGATGCTCAGTCTACTGTGTTGGAGGGACAGGGGCGGGATACAGATGCTCCGTCTACTGTGTTGGAGGGACAGGGGCGGGATACAGATGCTCAGTGTACTGTGTTGGAGGGACAGGGGCGGGATACAGATGCTTCGTCTACTGTGTTGGAGGGACAGGGGCGGGATACAGATGCTCAGTCTACTGTGTTGGAGGGACAGGGGCGGGATACAGATGCTCAGTCTACTGTGTTGGAGGGACAGGGGCGGGATACAGATGCTCAGTCTGCTGTGTTGGAGGGACAGGGGCGGGATACAGATGCTCAGTCTACTGTGTTGGAGGGACAGGGGCGGGATACAGATGCTCAGTCTACTGTGTTGGAGAGACAGGGGCGTGATACAGATGCTCAGTCTACTGTGTTGGAGGGACAGGGGCGGGATACAGATGCTCAGTCTACTGTGTTGGAGGGACAGGGGCGGGATACAGATGCTCCGTCTACTGTGTTGGAGGGACAGGGGCGGGATACAGATGCTCAGTCTACTGTGTTGGAGGGACAGGGGCGGGATACAGATGCTCAGTCTACTGTGTTGGATGGACAGGGGCGGGATACAGATGCTCAGTCTACTGTGTTGGATGGACAGGGGCGGGATACAGATGCTCAGTCTACTGTGTATGAGGGACAGGGGCGTGATACAGATGCTCAGTCTACTGTGTTGGAGGGACAGGGGCGTGATACAGATGCTCAGTCTACTGTGTTGGAGGGACAGGGGCGTGATACAGATGCTAAGTCTACTGTGTACGACGTACAGGGGCGTGATACAGATGCTCAGTGTACTGTGTTGGAGGGACAGGGGCGTGATACAGATGCTCCGTCTACTGTGTTGGAGGGACAGGGGCAGGATACAGATGCTCCGTCTACTGTGTTGGGGGGACAGGGGCGTGATACAGATGCTCAGTCTGCTGTGTTGGAGGGACAGGGGCGGGATACAGATGCTCAGTCTACTGTGTACGACGTACAGGGGCGTGATACAGATGCTCCGTCTACTGTGTTGGAGGGACAGGGGCAGGATACAGATGCTCCGTCTACTGTGTTGGAGGGACAGGGGCAGGATACAGATGCTCCGTCTACTGTGTTGGAGGGACAGGGGCAGGATACAGATGCTCCGTCTACTGTGTTGGGGGGACAGGGGCGGGATACAGATGCTCAGTCTGCTGTGTTGGAGGGACAGGGGCGGGATACAGATGCTCCGTCTACTGTGTTGGAGGGACAGGGGCGGGATACAGATGCTCAGTCTACTGTGTTGGAGGGACAGGGGCGGGATACAGATGCTCAGTCTACTGTGTTGGATGGACAGGGGCGGGATACAGATGCTCAGTCTACTGTGTTGGATGGACAGGGGCGGGATACAGATGCTCAGTCTACTGTGTATGAGGGACAGGGGCGTGATACAGATGCTCAGTCTACTGTGTTGGAGGGACAGGGGCGTGATACAGATGCTCAGTCTACTGTGTTGGAGGGACAGGGGCGTGATACAGATGCTCAGTCTACTGTGTTGGAGGGACAGGGGCGTGATACAGATGCTCAGTCTACTGTGTACGACGTACAGGGGCGTGATACAGATGCTCAGTGTACTGTGTTGGAGGGACAGGGGCGTGATACAGATGCTCCGTCTACTGTGTTGGAGGGACAGGGGCAGGATACAGATGCTCCGTCTACTGTGTTGGGGGGACAGGGGCGGGATACAGATGCTCAGTCTGCTGTGTTGGAGGGACAGGGGCGGGATACAGATGCTCAGTCTACTGTGTACGACGTACAGGGGCGTGATACAGATGCTCCGTCTACTGTGTTGGAGGGACAGGGGCAGGATACAGATGCTCCGTCTACTGTGTTGGAGGGACAGGGGCAGGATACAGATGCTCCGTCTACTGTGTTGGGGGGACAGGGGCGGGATACAGATGCTCAGTCTGCTGTGTTGGAGGGACAGGGGCGGGATACAGATGCTCCGTCTACTGTGTTGGAGGGACAGGGGCGGGATACAGATGCTCCGTCTACTGTGTTGGAGGGACAGGGGCAGGATACAGATGCTCCGTCTACTGTGTTGGAGGGACAGGGGCAGGATACAGATGCTCCGTCTACTGTGTTGGAGGGACAGGGGCAGGATACAGATGCTCCGTCTACTGTGTTGGAGAGACTGGGGCGGGATACAGATGCTCCGTCTGCTGTGTTGGAGGGACAGGGGCGGGATACAGATGCTCCGTCTACTGTGTTGGAGGGACAGGGGCGTGATACAGATGCTCAGTCTACTGTGTATGAGGTGACAGGGGCGTGATACAGATGCTCAGTCTACTGTGTTGGAGGGACAGGGACGTGATACAGATGCTCCGTCTACTGTGTTGGAGGGACAGGGGCGTGATACAGATGCTCCGTCTACTGTGTTGGAGGGACAGGGGCGGGATACAGATGCTCCGTCTACTGTGTTGGAGGGACAGGGGCAGGATACAGATGCTCAGTCTACTGTGTTGGAGGGACAGGGGCGTGATACAGATGCTCCGTCTTCTGTGTTGGAGGGACAGGGGCGGGATACAGATGCTCCGTCTACTGTGTTGGAGGGACAGGGGCGGGATACAGATGCTCAGTCTACTGTGTTGGAGGGACAGGGGCGTGATACAGATGCTCCGTCTACTGTGTTGGAGGGACAGGGGCGTGATACAGATGCTCAGTCTACTGTGTTGGAGGGACAGGGGCGTGATACAGATGCTCCGTCTACTGTGTTGGAGGGACAGGGGCGGGATACAGATGCTCCGTCTACTGCGTTGGAGGGACAGGATTGCTACAGATACTAACTCAACTGTGTTGAACATGGTTCCGTGTTCGATGCGTCGGTGTTCAAATTACAACCCCTATAAGAAGGATTCTATAACCAATTACTTCCGTTTTACAAAATGGCCTCGGAGAAGACAACACTAGATACTAGCATCTGGTAAAGCTGTATCTACTGCTTCTCACTAACGTGCGACATGGGTGTCTCTGTAGTTTAAGGTGCCGCAGTACTCTGCAGTGGTGCATCCGTAAGTTGTGTCAGGAACTATGAGTCAAGTGTTCGAATCCCTCGCAACATAACCATGCGTATACGACCTGCATTCCATTTCCTCCCACATTTAGTTCATAGGACTAAAATACTGTTCAAAGCGAAGGGACACTCACTCGCATAATTGTCCAGTGTCCACATGACGAAGTAGATGATTGTGAGTTAAACTTTAAAGTAACATCGGCAGTATTTCAGGCATATCGCGACTAGCACAAGTTAGTAAGTTCTAACATATCAATACCTATCGAAGATGGACAGTACAAAAACTAGATTATCCCATTTATAGTATCAAACTAATATTTGCGTATTAATAATATTACCAGAAAGTACAATACACAATCTGGCTACAGATCGCCAGTAACCAAATGTGTGTTTGTTTGTTTTGATGTTTAACGCCCACTTAGCAATATTCCAGCTATTTGACGTCGGTCCGTAAATAATCAAGTCTGGACCAGACAATCAGTGATTGACATCATGAGCATCGATCCACGATATTGGGATACGATGACATGCATTAACCAAATCAGCGAGTCTGACCAACCGCTAGATTTAATCGGGTCTGTAACTTAGTGTATACTCATGAGGAGTTAAAGTGTCTCTACGACCAGCAGGATTTATACCTTCCCATCTAGCTGCCGGCAATGAACCTACTGTTTAGATGAACAAATATACTATGAAAATATTACTTTTATTAGGATGAAAAAACAATGGTAGATATAAATGATTTTTGAGTGAGTGAGTTTGATTTTACGCCGCTGTTAGCTATATTCCAGCAATATCACGACGGGGGACACCAGAAATGGTCTTCACACAATGTACCCATGTCGGGAATCGAACAAATGATATTTGAATGGCATGGACTTGGGTAAGTGATTATGAGTTTGAATATAAGTAAATGCGTGAGTTTTCACTTTTACTTCCTGTTCATGTTAAGCTTGGGGCGGTCATTGATTAACGTGTACGCGCGTGACGCTGAAGACCCGGGTTCGATTCCCGACTTGGGAAAACCATTTCTGGTGCCTCCAGACGTGATATTGCTGGAATATTGCTAAATGCTCCTAAAAGCCATACTCACTCAGTCTATATGCAATTGTCCTTGTAATAATTAAACGATCAATTAATTACTTTTTTATATCAAGTTTCAAAGCCAAAATATGTTTGCGTTTCTCAAAGACACCTGACCTGATCACATGCCCAGGAAGAACACCAAAAAGATCGTTTCCAGCCATGGCGCCAGCAGCATCCTTCACAGCAGAAACAGTGGATGACACAGGACACATCACGCGCACCGAGGTGAGTCGACAAGACAGGTGTCATATACAACTGTTATAGTGGATGACACAGGCCACATCAGGCGCAGCGAGGTGAGTCGACAAGACAGGTGTCATATACAACTGTTAAAGTGGATGACACAGGCTATATCAGGCGCATGGAGGTGAGTCGACAAGGCAGGTGTCATATACAACTCTTATAGTGGATGACACAGGCCACATCAGGCGCATGGAGGTGAGTCGACAAGGCAGGTGTCATATACAACTGTTATAGTGGATGACACAGGCCACATCAGGCGCATGGATGTGAGTCGACAAGGCAGGTGTTGTATACAACTGTTATAGTGGATGACACAGGCTATAGCAGGCGCATGGAGGTGAGTTGACAAGGCAGGTGTTGTATACAACTGCTATAGTGGATGACACAGGCCACATCAGGCGCATGGAGGTGAGTCGACAAGGCAGGTGTCATATACAACTGTTATAGTGGATGACACAGGACACATCACGCGCATGGAGGTGAGTCGACAAGTCAGGTGTCATATACAACTGTGATAGTGGATGACACAGGCCACATCAGGTGCAGCGAGGTGAGTCGACAAGGCAGGTGTCATATACAACTGTTATAGTAGATGACACAGGTCACATCAGGCACAGGGAGTCGAGTCGACAAGGCAGATGTCATTTTCAACTATTATTGTGGATGGTGTCAGAGGACATTCACCTGCACGAGGGAGTGCTCATTTTATACTGTAAGCGTGGTTTATACTGTTGGAGTGGTTACTTTATACGGTGGGACTGGTGGTTACCTTATACTGTAGAAGTGGTTACTTTGTACTGTAGAAGTGGTTACTTTGTACTGTAGAAGTGGTTACTTTATACTGTAAGACTGGTTATTTTATACTACAGGACTGGTTGCTTTACACTGTAGGCGTGGTTACTTTTTGCTGTATAAGTGGTTACTTTGTATTGTAGGGGTGGCTAGTTTATACTGTAGGCATGGTTACTTTTTACTGTAAGTGGGGTTACTTTGTATTGTGGGAGGGGCTACTTTATACTGTAAGCGTGGTTACCTTACACTGTAGACGTGGTTACTTTGTATTGTAGGAGTGGCTACTTTATACTGTAGGCGTGGTTACTTTTTACTGTAGGCGGGGTTACTTTGTATTGTGGGAGTGGCTACTTTATACTGTAGGAGTGGTTACTTTTTACTGTAGGCGGGGTTACTTTCTATTGTAGGAGTGGCTACTTTATACTGTTGGCGTGGTTACTTTTTACTGTAGGCGGGGTTACTTTCTATTGTTGGAGTGGCTACTATATACTGTAGTAGTGGCTACTTTTTACCGTAGGCGGGGTTACTTTCTATTGTTGGAGTGGCTACTATATACTGTAGGAGTGGCTACTTTTTACCGTAGGCGGGGTTACTTTCTATTGTAGGAGTGGCTACTTCATACTGTAGGCGTGGTTACTTTTTACTGTAGGCGGGGTTACTTTCTATTGTAGGAGTGGCTACTTTATACTGTAGGCGTGGTTACTTTCTATTGTAGGAGTGGCTACTATATACTGTAGGTGTGGTTACTTTTTACTGTAGGCGGGGTTACTTTCTATTGTAGGGGTGGCTACTTTATATTGTAGGCGTGGTTACTTTTTACTGTAGGTGGGGTTACTTTCTATTGTAGGAGTGGCTACTTTATACTGTAGGCGCGGTTACGTTATACTGTAGGCGTGGTTACCTTGATGTCACTGCTCGTACATCCACACGTGATGGTCGTCTAGGGAGCAGCCAGTATAATGTTGATAGGGAGCATTCACTGTACACACGTAATACACTTCGCGAACAATCCATTGATGTATTACTGTTGACAATATCGTATGGTTGAAACCCAGGAGAGTTACGACACGAAGCTGCGGGTGACGAAATATACCTACACTCAAGCACCAGGCTTGTATGATACAGATGTTGGACCACGTGTGACAGACGTGCATGACTTCACTACAGGTAAGTCAGAGGAGGGACCACTGCCTCCACGCCGCGTTTTAGCGCTACGGTTATCTGGTGAAATGGGCTGGCTGGTTTGTTGTTTAATGCCGCACTCAGCAGGTACATTGGGAGATAGGACATCGCTTTCAGGAGCATGGCGTTGAGGTTACCTCTCAGTTCTATCGATTGTTATCAATTTTATAGTGCGAGTCCCATTGAGATACCATGCCGCAGTCTTCATGACTACCCTACTCAGACACAATATGCTGTCTCCTTGTTTTATTCCCTTAATACCGAGCGCCAGGAAGGGCAAGTACCATCAATAATCATCTTGTGACGTCTTTTGATATGTGTGAGTGTGTGTGTGTGTGTGTGTGCGTGTGAGTGTGTGTTAGTAAGTGTGGTAGTGTGTGTGCGTGCGTGCGTGCGTGCGTGTGTGTGTTATTTAGAGTGGTAGTGTGTGTGTGCGTGTGTGTGGTAGTAAGTGTCGCAGTGTGTGCGTGTGCGTTGGTGTGTGTGGTAGTGTGTGTGGTGGTAATTTGATAGTGTGTGTGTGTGTGTGTGTTAGTAAGTGTGGTAGTGTGTGTGTGTGTGTGTGCGTGTGCGTGCGTGTGAGTGTGTGTTAGTAAGTGTGGTAGTGTGTGTGTGTGTGCGTGCGTGCGTGCGTGCGTGCGTGCGTGCATGCGTGCGTGCGTGTGTGTGTTAGTAAGAGTCGTAGTGTGTGTGTGCGTGTGTGTGTGTGTGGTAGTAAGTGTCGCTGCGTGTGCGTGGGTGTGTGTGGTAGTGTTTGTGGTGGTAATTTGTGTGTGTGTGTGTGTGTGTGTGTGTGTGTGTGTGTGTGTGTGTGTGTGTGTGTGTGTGTGTGTGTGTGTGTGTGTGTGTGTGTGTGTGTGTGTGTGTGCGTGCGCGCGCAATAATGTAATAATCTGAAACTCAACTTTAAACTCAATTAACCTCAGCTGACCTAACCCTTGCAAGAATTCAAATTGCCATGGCATATCAACCTACATTTGTAAATTTGCTTCCCGGAAACATTTCAACATTTTAACTTAATTCGTGTTTTTGTCGGTATTTTTATTATTTTTATTATTAACAACTTTAAAAAGTGTGCATGTTCGGCCTAGGGGTTGCTTATGTGACGAACACCAACACCGGGACCTGCACGTGTCGGACCATTGAAAAAAACAGTTTTGGTGCCATCAGTAAGAATGAAATCTACGTCCAAATGAAGACAGCATCACAGATCTTCCACATGGATTTCAAGGACTATTCTTATGAAGGGCAGGTAACTGTTGTCAGGGAAAGTTCTTGGAAAGACATTCTGCTGAGTTCGTGTTGACCTGATGGAACGCATGTGTGTTGAAGTGGCAGTGGTAGTAGTGGTAGTAGTGGTAGTAGTAGTAGTAGTAGTAGTAGTAGTAGTAGTAGTAGTAGTGGTGTTGGTAGAAGTAGTGGTAGTAGTGGTAGCTGTGGTAGTGGTAGTAGTGGTAGTAGCAGCGGTAGTGGTGTTAGTAGTTACTGCTGTAGCCGTAGTCCTTAGTAGTAGTAGTAGTAGTAGTAGTAGCAGTGGTGATGGTAGTGGTAGTGGTAGTGGTAGTAGCAGAAGACGTTATTGGTAACTGGGGCAATAATTTGCAAATTAAGAAGCACACATTGTTTGTACCAACTAATTCAAATACATGTATTTAAGAAATTAACTCCTCTCACTGCAGTGTTTTATTGTACGATAAACAACGACCACGAGTCGTTTATTTCTTATATGAGATATCAACACTATGTACAACCTCTTTAAGGATGATGATAAAATGTACATGCTTTAAAATTGTGTACTTGTATTTAAATAATGACGACTGCCTCTGTGGAATCCGACCTCGACAATGTTCATTTTATCACAGGCGGGTATTTCCCGCATATTCTCACAATACTCACGTCGATTACCTGTACCTTTTGTCCCAATACCGATTGTCATATCTCCCGCTTTTCGATGCGATGGTTCGGCCACTAGGTTTATCAAGTGTCTTTCCCCTCTAAAAAACAACGTCGTCCAAAAGACGACGCTATCAAGTTGCAAGCGTATCTTCGAATCTCCAGAAATGACGTCATGACAGAACAATGTTTTATCATGAAATAAACCACGCTTCATTCGTCATTGGTCTTTGCGATTTATCGCATATCTATCTTATATAATTGCCTAACACTTGTGACTGTGATGTTGACAGATAACAACAAGAGACATCCCGACAGAGAGGTTTGTGGCCGTCAGGACGGACTATCCACCGCAGACAACACTCAGCTCCACGTTTGAATGGCGATTTGCCTCTGTGAGTAAATTGGCGAATCTGTCCCTGTAAAAAATACAACTTTTGCTCCGTACCTGGATCCCATACTATCCCTCACCGACCGGAGCGTTCATGTACCATGGAGGGGGCACGCATGGCCCAGTCGTCTAAGGCGCCGCGATTCGCTGTGCAGAGTTACGTCCCTTGGGCACGCCAGAAACCTATGATTGTGGGTTCGAGTCCCGGTTCGCCCCCATTATGTTTCTAGGTTTGTCAGCACCATACCCGTGCTTGTGGGTTTCACCGAAGTGGTAACATTCTCAGACCTGTATCACTTCGGGCTCTCCTCCCACATTCAGCTGACACGCCGTGATATAACTGTAATACTGTTAAAAGCGGCGTTAAACCCAACTAACTCACTCACATTCAAACCCTACCCAAGAAATCACCAGAGCGCCAAGGAACAGATGATTGTGTATTTCAGAGTCAATATGCCCGAGTCCAGCAGAGTCAGGAGACCTTCACTGGCGGAGTTCCCGTTCAGATACAGATCAGTGTACCGGAAGTAAGTTGTGTTCCTTTATCTTACATGGGGGCATGCTGGGTGAGTGAGTGAGTTGCGTTAAACGCCCCCTTGATCAATATCTCAGCATGTCTGCAGTGAGCTGTGCACCTTTATCTTGCATAAGTATTGTGTGTGGTGCCTTGCTGAGCGAGTGAGTGAGTTGCGTTAAACGCCCCCTTGATCAATATCTCAGCATGTCTGCAGTGAGCTGTGTATCTGTATCTTGCATAAGTGTTGTGTGTGGTGCCTTGCTGAGCGAGTGAGTGAGTTGCGTTAAACGCCCCCTTGATCAATATCTCAGCATGTCTGCATTGAGCTGTGCACCTTTATCTTGCATAAGTATTGTGTGTGGTGCTTTGCTGGGTGAGTGAGTGAGTTGCGTTAAACGCCCCCTTGATCAATATCTCAGCATGTCTGCAGTGAGCTGTGCACCTTTATCTTGCATAAGTACTACCTTGCTGAGTGAGTGAGTAAGTTGCGTTAAACGCCCCCTTGATCAATATCTCAGCATGTCTGCATTGAGCTGTGCACCTTTATCTTGCATAAGTATTGTGTGTGGTGCTTTGCTGGGTGAGTGAGTGAGTTGCGTTAAACGCCCCCTTGATCAATATCTCAGCATGTCTGCAGTGAGCTGTGCACCTTTATCTTGCATAAGTACTACCTTGCTGAGTGAGTGAGTAAGTTGCGTTAAACGCCCCCTTGATCAATATCTCAGCATGTCTGCAGTGAGCTGTGCACCTTTATCTTGCATAAGTACTACCTTGCTGAGTGAGTGAGTAAGTTGCGTTAAACGCCCCCTTGATCAATATCTCAGCATGTCTGCAGTGAGCTGTGCACCTTTATCTTGCATAAGTACTACCTTGCTGAGTGAGTGAGTGAGTGAATTTCATGCTTAGTCTCGTGTCTGCTTAGTTAGTTCAGGCGTGTGTGGGTGTGGGTGTGGGTGGGGGTGTTGGGGTGGTTGGGTGTGGGGGTGTGGGTGTGGGTGGGGACAATGTTGAATCGTCTCTTACGACTTGGAGTTGCTGGGGACTTCTTACAACTAGTCTCCTCAGACTGAGACATTCCCTCTTTGCAGGACAACGTCAAGTACACGTACAACATCTACAACTTCATCCAGGCTAGGCCCAACCTCCTGAACTGGGACATCCGCTCATGCTACAGGGGTCAAGAGAAGAGGATTCTACAGTTTTCAATTCCTGGTGGGTAGTTAGTTAGTTAGTAAGTATGTAATAGCAGAGGCTTGAAGTATATAATGCAAAGTAAGTATCCGGAGGACTGTCATGAAATGATGAGTTGTTGTCGCCATTGTCTTCATGGTTGTGGGGAAAAGGGGAACAAAGTCTTTATGCTACTATGTGTTTACAGTTGTGTTTGAGATGGCTCGGCGAGTCGAGTGCTGATATCGTTCGCTTGTTGCAATCATCGACAAACCGTGTAATTTGATTGGATACGCATTTTAGTGAGTGAATGAGTATGGTCTTACGCCGCTTTTAGCAATATTCCAGAAATATCAAGGCGTGGGACACCAGAAATGGGCTTCACACATTGTACGCATGTCGGGAATCGAACCCGGGTTTTCGGTGTGACGAGCGAACGCTTAAACCACTAGGCCACCCGACCGCCCCTGTATACGCATTTTAAGTGTCGTGTCATTCCAATAGGGCTCAAAACGAGGCTAATGCGGCGAAAGGGACCAGATCATTGATCGTAACGGAAGGGAGATATTATACACTGGACACTCCAGGATGTTCATGATTTAGATTTTGCAGCTGTTTTGTAGTTTTTGAACTTTCGGTTTGATTAACATAGAGCGAAGGCTGGATAGCGCGTGACACACATCTCATGATTGTCATGACGAATTTGAAGTTTGTTTCCCGTTGAAGTTAACGTAAACTTGAAATACTTGCTGTCCTGGCCATCGGTATATATAAAAGCATTGGATATAATTATGTAATAAAATTAGTATTAATATGTGTCAAACAATTCAAAGCTTTTTCACACTACATGCATGTCCATATGTTTTCGTGTTTTGCGTGGAAACATTTCGGTGAGAATATATCTGTCCAGTTACTTATGCTTGTCATAAGAGGCGACTTTACTGATCGGGTGGTCAGGCTCGCTGACTTGTTTCATGCATGTTATCGTATCCCATTTGCGTGAATCCATGCTCATGATGTCAATCACTGGATGGTCTGGACTCACTTCTTTGCATAACACAGCCATACAGCTGGAATACTGCTGATTACGACGTTAAGCAGCCAAAAAGCCACCCAAATAACACAAGAAACAAATATTTCATTCTCCACAGGGTCCTACAGTTCCCAGATATCCTCCAGCAGAGAGACGTTTAAACATGAAACACTCTCAGCCTTACAAGATTCCCTCAAAGTCTCACCACTCCGCATAAATGACATTCACCTTCAGGTAAGTGTTTCTCATTGTCTCACCTCTCCGCATTAATGACATTCACCTGCAGGAAAGTGTATCTCATTGTCTCACATCTCCGCATTAATATTATTCACCTACAGGTTAGTGTTTCTCGTGTGATAAAAAGACGAGACATGACCTGGTCAAAAGTCACAAAATATTATGGTATGGTGTGACATGTTTTAAAATTGACTGGCAGTTAGCGTTTTCCTTTTCATCACTCCATGTTACGAACACCGGATGTTCCATGGCGTATGGTAGAAAACCCAGTCTTGAGCAGGCCAAGCTGATATGTTATTAACGCAGCACCAGTGAAGTCATTGGCTGATAATTGCAATTGCTAAACCGTCGTCATTTACACATTTGAAAAAAATAAGGTTTCAAATTTAATATTTTATATTCTAACGTCAGGCACAGATATGTCACCGACATGTGACACACGTCCCTCTACACTTTTCCTATCTAATTTAAGCGATTACATTTGCACTGTTCAGACAAACTTCACCACCACCATCAGCGTGAGGTTCACCTTGCTGGGCACCGCGCCTATCGAAGGGGACGTGAACGTCAACATCACAGAGACGTCGCTCGACAGTGCTGTCGCAAAACTTGCGCAACTTATCAAGGACCATGCTTTCATGATTCCAGCAGTATTTGGCAGTCACATTGAGGTTGGTACTGTCGTGTAAGAACATATTCGCAACGAATAGGACCCCAGTGAAATACTCTCATCCAATGTGCGTTCGTCATTTTGGTCACGTGTAAAAAGTTATATCCCAATGTACACTGCTGCTCGAGAATTGCACAGACGCCTGCCTAGTCTGTGGGTTCGATGACCGTGAGATGGAAATGAATAGAGACGTTGTCGCGAGCTGTTTACTACCTATACTGATATGCTCTTCTTGCAACTCGAGTATGTGTCTATGCTCTAAGACAGATAGATAACAAGAAGCAGCTGCGAGAACAACGGCGCAATACTATATCATTATTGTCGCAACATTATAACATAATACACAACGGTTCCTCGTCCTTTGTATATTACGAAGGTGTTCACAATGGTACATAACTACATCGGGGAAGGTGGCCGGGTCATCAACAGCGTCTCAGTTCCCTGCGCAGAGTTGCGTCCCTTGGGCACGTCAGAAAACCTTTGCTTGTGGATTCGAATCCCGGTTCGCCCCGATTATGTTTCTAGGTTTGTCAGCACCATACCCGTGCTCGTGGCTTTCACCGAAGTGGTTAACGTCTGAGAACTGCATCACTTCGGGCTTTCCTCCCACATTAGGCTGACACGCCGCGATAAGATATCACTGGATTAATGTTAAAAGCGGCCTTAAACCCAACATACTAACTCACTTCTAAGTAAAGGTTAATATTATCGTTTAATAATACCTTGGGGTATGTTGGGTAACCTGGCGATTAAAACTTTGTCAGTCATGCCAGTAGCGTGTGTTCGATTCCGATGGCCAAGCTCGCCGACTTGGTTGACGCATGTCATCGTACCCCAATTGCTTTGATGGATTCTTGTGATGTCAATCATTGGATTATCTGGTCTAGGTACGATTATTTACAGTCCGCCGCCATAAAGCTGGAATATTGCAGATTGCGGCATTAAACAACAAAGAAACATACACAACCTCAATATAGAAGTGAACATTCATAGGAATTGATTTTTAAAATTTTAAATGTATTTTTGTCCCTTTCGAAGGCAATTGCAGCTCTACCTAAGTCATTCCGTGACATTACAGAGGAAGGTAAAACGACCGCAATATCAGCAACAACATCACCAGCCGCATCAGCCACAAAATCTCCCACGAAAATTTTGACAACTGGAGTCCCACAAACAAAATCTTTGGGGAAGACGAGTAAAGCTTCGACCATCCCCGTGCCCCACCCTGGGAAGAGCTCACATGGTCAGGGTCTCAAACCAACAACAGCAAAACTCCATATAACAACACCAGGTCTATATGGTTCTTCGTTGGCAAATATTCTGTGTGGATACGGCCATGCAGGATACAAAACAGGTAAGGAGTCGACTGATTGAAGCTTGTGTTTATATCCAGCTGTAGAGACACAGTATCACTCACGTGTATGAAGAGTCGGTTAATAACAAACTCCACTGGGAAATATCAGTAAACTCTTCCATGACACTGACGAATGCTTGATTATTATTGGTCAAAACAATATGTAAATCAGGTATCTAATGCTATTAGATGCTTCAAAATTACCAGGCCTTTCCACACAACAACTTGCCTATGAATACATTGATCTATGGTGTGAGTGAGCATGGTTTAACGCCGCTCGAACTTGGGCTCTCTGTGTGACCACTTGGCTACTCCACAGTGGTTAAAGCTTTCGCTCGTCAAGACCCGGGTGCGATTCACGGCATTGGTAGAATGTGGGAGCCCATTTCTGGTGTCCCCCGCTGCGATACTGCTGGAATATTGCTAAAGGCGGCGTAAAACCACATTCACTCACTCAAGTCAACACGTACATCAAGGTATTACTCCGATGCCGGTTTGACTGTGAGAAGCTTGAATTGCAGATATTACAAAGAATTGCAAAAAATGTTGCCATGGTGGTGGGGTGTGTTTTGTCGATGTAGAAGCACGAAGAAGACCTTTAGAGTTTTCCAGTTGTACACGCGATTAATCAATAACGTTCAGATATCTGACGTATATGATAGAACACGTCATTGGGTTTTATTAGATTTAAAACCTGAATCGGGGCGGTCGGGTAGCCTAGTGGTTAAAGCGTTCGCTCGTCACGCCGAAGACCCGGGTTCGAATCCCGACATGGGTACAATGTGTGAAGCCCATTTCTGGTGTCCCCCGCCGTGATACTGCTGGAATATTGCTAAAAGCGGCGTAAAACCATACTCACTCACACTCACACTAAAACCTGAATCCAAGGGATAAAATCGGGGGGCGTCAGGGACGAGGGTAAATATTTTATCTAACTTATAAACCGCAAAAAAAAAGAAACAAAATTAATCAACATTTACATGTTTCAAACATACTTGTCATGAACATGAGAAAACGGGCGTAATTTTTTTTTCACTTTTCAGTTTGCACCATTCCACATGTCATTACATTGTCTTCAAATATAAACTAGCAAGATACATTCACATGTTACAATATCAATGGAAATTGTATAATAACAATCATGAGTATATCATAGCATCCCTGTTCGTGAGATTTAACCTGATTGGAGAATATAAGGATGAAGGCACTGAAGCTTTTCTGAAACGACAACGAACGAGAACTTATGTTCTCGATTATCCGCCGAAACATTCTCCATTTGGTGTAAAAAGACAAATAGCTGTGATAGTTATATTAATGGATCACTGAAAATCAGTGATGACACCAGGTGTTCGCGAGGAGGTAAGCATGCCCTGCCCTAGCTGTAGAACCCGCCAGTCACACAATTTGCGTAAAATAGGAAGTATTAGCTGTCTGCCGCCGCATAGCAGTACTCCTGCAAAGTGACGATGGTCTGTAAACAATCCAGACCATCATGTGATCGATGAACCAGACAATCACGATAATGCGTTTACTGATTTTCTTTGAAGAAAAACATGTTTAAAAATATACTCCTTTTTAGTTAAGGTGGGATAAACTGAGTCTGCACCATGTGACCTTTAGAGCTTATGTACCTGTTCCTTCCAGGTGTCGTGGTGGGCGTGAGTGTCGCCATGGTGATTGTTGGGGGCGTACTTGGGACTGGAGCGGCCATCTATATGTCAAGAAGAAGACACATCGGATTCCGATGATGTGACTCGACCTACACACATTCTGGTCACTTTAACTGTTTCGAACTGATGTCCATGATCATGTCTGTTATGGGGCAACAATAAATATTTAAAAAATATAAAAGTTCATCTGTTGCATTTCTGGCTCCAACATAGACAGTATAAACTACAACGGCTGTTTTGTTAGACATCGCCTCAAGCAGCTGGGGAGTGAGTGGGGTTTACGTCTCTTTTAGCAATATTCCAGCAATGTCCAGGGCGTGGTTACCAGCAGAGTGCTTCTCACATTGTACCCCACTGTCACATTGCTGGAATATTGCTGAGTGAAGCGTTAAACACCCCTTAGACACCATGTTGAACACGTCCATGTATGCAAGCCTGTCATATTCAAATGTTTCGAAATAACACATTTCTTGAAGTTTATCTGTTTCTAATTAAGGTGGTGGGGTAGTCTCATGTATAAAGTTATGGCTCGTCAAGCTGATAAGCCGGGTTTGAGTCCCAACACAAATACCATCAGAGCATACCATAATATAAAGGTTACCCTGATACTGCTTGGATATGGACTATGGAGTTTAACAACGAACTACAATCACCTCTCGAAGATTGTCTTCAGTGTACTCCACGACATGTTAGCAACCAGCATTTCCAACAGAAATAATATCGCATGAAATGAAAAATGCATTGGTCAGTGTAATGGACATTTCATTTTGCCTAGTCGTTTGTCTCCTTTTGGAAGTGTGTATCAAATTGTACCGTCTAACACAGACACGTAGGTGCGAAGTACGGGTGGGGGTGGGGAGGGTAGGCCCCCGAATCCGAATGAAAGTACAGTGATTGACTGTGCGTTTCGATGTACAAATAAAAACCAACAACCTCATGATGGCATGGGACAGACAACCACTATCAGGAAGATACACGAAGTGCACATTAATTTAAGACTAGGTTATCTGTGAGATGTTTTTATTGAATTAAAGGAGGGCTGTAGTTTAAATGGGGAGATAGTTCAGGTCAGTGCACATCTGAGGCAAGTGCAGGAAACTTAGTCAGCAAAGACATTCCTCGGGAATACGAGGAACAGGAGAATCCATGTTACAGAAGAAAATGGGAAAAACCAACACTGATTGTATTCTTTGTAAGGTGTTTGTCGTGCTTTCCAGGTCAAGTTTTACACGTGACTGTGATTGAATTGGGGTTAACGCCTATTTGGTGTACATGGAGTGTCAGCTTATGATAACGTGTCTCTGTTCGTTATTTACTGCGTGCTAGCTTATATAAACGCGCCAGTGGGTGTCGTATGGTGCGTGTGAGCTGATAGTAACGTATCAGTATTTGGTGTGTACAACATGTCAGCTTATATACTCTTACAAAAAAGAAACGCAAAGCCAGATTTGTGTGAGGTAGGAAAATACATTTATACGAGGAACCGTACAAGGTATTGAGCCAAAATGTTGTGGAGAGAACACTTGGTGATTGTAGTCATCTCAGTTATCGGTACATAGGAAACGTCCAAGGTGAAGGTCAGCTACCATCAATAACGCGTATGTTCTCCGTTGGAATCGATAGCGGCATGACATCTCCTGCCCATGGAAGAGACGAGTATGCGAATCACATCCTGGGGAATGGTAGCCCACTCGGCCTGCATCGCAAAAGCCAACTGTTGCAACGTCGGGGGTTGTGGCTGACGTCGGCGTAGCCGTCTATCCAATTGACCCAACAGGTGCTCTATCGGGTTCAAATCCGGGGATCTGGAGGGCCAGGGTAGAACATTAACGTTGTTGTGTAGACATGCTCTTGTGATCCGTGCTGTATGCGGTCGAGCGTTGTCCTGCTGGAATACACCGTTGCCGTTGGCTGCAGTTGGGAGGATGTGTGGTAGAAGAATTTCGTTGTTGTATCCTTGAGCCGTAAGATTGCCCTGGATATGGACCAAATCTGTCCTGCCATGGTGAGAGATAGCCGCCCACATCATAAAGCTTCACCCACAAACCTGTCCACTTCCTGTACCCAGTTCCCGGCGTAACATTCTCCCCGACGTCTGTATACCCGTGCACTTCGATCCCTCGAAGGAGGAGAAATCTTGATTCGTCGTTGAACCAGACAGCTCTCCATCGCAGGCCATACCTTGTGACACGAATGCAGTCGTTTTTGACGGTGTTGTCTACTCAATATGACGCGTCGAACAGGACGTCTTGCTCGTAGACCTGCTGCTCTAAAAGAGTTTCCCCGCCTCCGTGGTCTAGTGGTAGAGCGTCCGCCCAGAGAGCGGAAGGTCCGGGGTTCGATCCCCGACCGCGTCATACCAAAAGACGTTAAAAGATGGTACTTGTTGTTACCATGTCTGGCGCTCAGCATTAAGGGGCTAAAACAAGGACTGGTCGGCTCTAAGTCAGTATACTGTGTCTGAGTGGGGTATTCATGTTAAACTGCGGCATGGTATCTCAGTGAGTTAGCACTATAAATCGGCATCAGTCCGGACTAGTACAAGCAGCCACACACACACACATACACGTGCATGCACGTCGCTATATAAGTGCAATAATCATGGACGCGACGTTAAAAAACATTTCACCTCACCTCACCTAAAAGGGTTTTGTACTCTGGTCGGAGATTCTGCGCAGTCCGGGTATTTGGGATGCGGTTGAGGTGTCCGTGGTAGTCCTTTCACGTAGGTAGCGCAGTCATATGTAGCGATCTTGGGCGGGGTCTTGGTTGTTCTTGGTCGTCCCGACCTTGGCAAATCACGTGTTGAAACAGATCCCATAGCCTTGTGATGGTGCTGGACGCTACATTGAAAAACCTGGCTGCAGCTGATCGGGATTCCCTTCTGCCTTCAAGCGGCCTATGGCGTTGGTTCTTTGCACTTCTGTTTATCTTGGCATATAATTGAACTGTCTTTATTCGATTGAGGCAGATGCCAGGCCGACCCTGCACTTTAATACCGTTCATGGTGCTTCTGCACGTGTTGTCCATGCAGCTCCATGGCTCGCAGGTCCTTGTTGTCATCATTTTCATCCGGGAAATTTGTCGCTGACATGGTCCGCTTTTGTTGCCTTAATGGCCAAAAATGTCTGTATTGTAATTCTCTTTTTGAAGAGTATATTACTTTGTTAGTATTTGTTGTATACAGCGTGTCATCTTATATTAGCGACTCAGCCGTTTGTGTTCTTGAAGCATGTTCAACGATTACATCTAATTTCTGCTTGCCATGAATACATAGTTACCAATACCCGTCACTGTAACCTTCTCAAAGATGGTAAAATCAACCACAGACAACCACAGAAAAGATTCCATTGGGCGTAAAAGGCGAAATATTGGTACATGCGTGTATCACTGAAAATCAGTGATGACACCAGGTGTTCGCGAAAAGGGGAATGAATGAATGAATGAATGAATGAGTGAATGAATGAATGAATGAATGAATGAATGAATGAATGAATGGCATTTCTTCCAAAACATATATCGGAAATTGCTCAAAGCGCGTTGGTATATATGTTGATAGGAAAAAAGCTTCCAACTGAAGTATGAACTAAAAGTAGATTCCCCTTGTGTTGTCGAAATGCTTACAGACACCTTATTAATTATCCTTCCTCCATTAGATCTCATATTCAATTATTTGTTCTTCACATGTATTTTTTAACACATTCTCGGATGGAAAATGTATTTTCGGCTATCGACTCGATGGTTATGAGGATCACTATATCAATTGACAACTTCTCTGTCTCGAGGGGACCACGTCACTGTGCCCTCACCTATTGTTATAGGGTACAGGTGTAGTCAGCCGTGGTTAAGCTGGTAACAATAGGGGGATTACCTATAGTCTGTTGCATGTCTATATAGAGAAAATAACTATCTGCCAGATTCATAAAATTTCATATACTTTTCAACAGTACATTCGCTTTACAGAAGCATATATTTAATAAAATTTCATATATTTTATAATGATGGATTACGTATTGCATGAATGAATAAATGAATAAATATACATTTCAAATTCACTTTACAGCAGAAATATTCAGTTCACAATCCAACGTATTCAGCCACAGCATCATCTTCCACGTCAAGTATGACCCTATGTTCAGCTGCCACAATGTACAGTCTCATAAACACCCAGCGATAACATAAACAACATGTACGTTTATCTCTCAAGGTCGTTCAAGCTTCACGACACACATTATACTTAAGATACAGAGCGACCAGGTTTGAGTTTCTTTTGTTGTGAACATGTCAACATGACCTCGGTGATTTTGCAATACCTAGGGATTCACACACAGGAGTCAGCAGAGAATATTTCCTTGGACAAGTGTCACCCAAAGTATTTTCAAACTTTTTTAATCTTGCAGAAACATTTTTTAACTGGCAGAAGCTAAAGTATATGGAAATCAACAGTGCTGTTAAATAAACATGGACTTCTGTACAATTATAACATACAGTTGCCTATAAAAATATACATTGCCTGTAGTGGACAACATTGGTTTTGTGAAATCTTTTGCAGAAAGAACAAGGTTGGTACATGTGAAAAATTGTATCTGAAAAAATGAAAAAAGCGATAAATGTAAATCCTGGTTCTGTTTTATACTTGGTGACATGTACTTTGGTGTTATGTTTGCATACATGAATGTTTTGTTGGCATACATGGATGTTATGTTGGCATACATGAATGTTTTGTTGGCATACATGGATGTTATGTTGGCATACATGAATGTTTTGTTGGCACACATGGATGTTGGCATATATGGATGTAATGTTGGCATACATTGATGTTATGTTGGCATACATGAATGTTTTGTTGGCATACATGAATGTTATGTTGGCATACATGAATGTTTTGTTGGCACAAATGGATGTTGGCATATATGGATGTAATGTTGGCATACATGGATGTTATGTTGGCATACATGGATGTAATGTTGGCATAAATGGGTGTTATGTTGGCATATATGGGTGTTATGTTGCATACACGGGTGTTATGTTGAAAACATGGGCGTCATGATGTGATACACGGGTGTTATATTAAATACATAGGTGTTATGTTGCATACATGCGTGTTATGTTGCATGCATGGGTATAATGTAGGCATACATGGATGTTATGATGGCATCCATGGGTGTTATGTTGGCATACATGGATGTTATGT